AAATGCCTTATTCGATCCTGTTTTGATGAGGAAAAATGCCTTATTCGATCCAGTTTTGATGAGGAAAAATGCCTCATTCGATCCAGTTTTAATGAGTGTTCAGTGGTTTTATCCACTCAGTCACTGATGGCCACTACTCACGAGGAAAAATATATATTATTCAATTTTAATTTTCTAACCAAGTATATTACATTTATTTACATTCTGCTGAGGAAATTTACTGAATTAGAATAATTGTTTCTAAGATAAAATTGTACATTTTCGAATCTTTTTACAGAAATGTATTAAACTCAATTCTTTCCTGCTGAAAAGGAGGAAATCCATATTCTTACGCTTACATCATATTTCATTTTTGAGGAAATATGTTGTATTCTACTAAATCTCGTTGGCAAAATATACCACATACGAGTCATGCTGCTGAGGAAAAATATATGCTTACTAGAGTGAGATAATCACAATGCCTGCAGCTTACTAGAGTGAGGTACTCACAATACCTGCAGCTTACTATGTGAAGTACTCACAATGCCTGCAGCTTACTATAGTGAGGTACTCACAATACCTGCAGCTTACTAGAGTGAGTACTCACAATACCTGCAGCTTATAATAGTGAGGTATTCACAATGTTTTCAGCTTACTAGAGTGAGGTACTCACAATACCTGCAGCTTATTAGAGTGAGATACTCACAATGAATTGACAGATATATACAAGAATGTAACGAATGTACATGAAAATACCTTCCACCGATAAAAGAACACGTTTCATTTTTAAATTATTTACATATTTAGAGGATAAGTGATGAAACATCTGCTCGTTTCTACTACGAAACCACCTGGCAGAGAGAGGATCCAAGGTTACTTTCTACATTTTAAATTATCGGGATTACCAAATTCTTCTAGGTCATAATCTCCAACATTTGTGATCCAACGTTTGACCGATACAATCAATGGACCAACTTACTAGTATTTCTGGTTTCTACTGGTGAATTGAACTACTTTATTCAGGTCACGAATCTCACTTTGAAGCTGCTTCCAACAACTTGCAACCAATTAGTAATCTTTTCATAAGATAATTACAGATTTCTCGTGGCACTCAATGGAGAAAATATGTACCGAGCACCTTTTTTTGAAGGTGTACACAAAGTTTTATACGTAATTATGTCTTTTGCGGTGTTGTTTAACAATAAAATTCTGTGTTTTATTCGTTGCTAGAACAATAGCAACAGGAGGTTGAGGACAAAAAGAATAAATTAACTTCCACCTCGTGTAAGGGGGAGTGTAAAATAAACATCGATTAGGATTCTGTATTGATCATTGTCAGCTTTAGAAGTGGGTGAAGGACGGATTAACGTCGTTTCTTTAACAGCGGCTCCACCCTTTACAATCAGTTAATTAATAAGATTTAATAAATGAATATCCATTGAGGGATGTTCAATCTCATCAATGTGTAAATATGCGAAAGGATGATTTACGACACCATCAAGTATGGACTTAGTAACAGTATAATAGGAATTATTTGATGTTTATCAGTAGAAAAGTAGGGCAGAGGTGTATTTTCTTTTATAGGTTTATTACAAAATGTGTGCCTGATGAGAGGGTGGATAGTATTCTGATGCATTGTGATGTAAGCAGAAAATGCTACAGGAGTTTCCTTTCTAATAACAGATCATAAAAAGAGGTGGTGTTAGATATTTCTAGATAAATTATTAGATTAAAATGTACTTAAATATTAAAATTTTAACCATTTTTTTTTTAAAATAAAAATAGTAATGCTTAACAGCAAAATTTGCTGCTAAATAACCAAGTTTTTCTTCAATTGAAATCAAATTATATAGAGAATTTTGTAGGTATTTTGATGTTTCATTGTACAATATTAAACTAATAAGAACCTTATTCAATCTTTTAATATTAGATTACTTCAAGGACAAAGTTTTTCTAAGGTTAGTTTCATAGTAATAAGGATATGAAACCTTTAAAGGAATGTTACAGTGATCCAGTAATCATAATTTTTTAAAAAAAGTAGTGTATAATTAAGAAAAATCTTTACATTCCTGTAACAAAGAATGTATATTTTATAAAAATTCATAAGAAAATATGATTTTATAAATAAATAAATTACAAATTTAAGTGTGTTTTTAGAATATTAAGTGTAAAAGTAAAGATTTTTAAGTAAAAATTTATTAATTATTGAACAAAATATATAAGAATTTTCTCTTTTTCTTTGATCAAATTACTCAATTATCACAGCTTTAAAATTCAGATCATTTTTAAAAATAGAAGACAGTTTTTTTGGGGGGATATTTTTTGTGCCTTTATTGGGTTACAATTTTTTTTAATAAAATTACATTTTAATGCTTTTTTAAGGTTGTTCCATTGACACTCTAACATAGAGGCAGTGTTATAAAGTGTCTAAGATGTTTATTTGCGATTAAAACATTATTTTAAAGTTTAAAGAAGTAATTATTATGCAGTATAATTATATTTGTAATACAGAAATTATATTATACTCTGTAGCTTTTTGATGTACAGTATATATATATATATATGCATAGTGTAGGCTATTAATGTATGCTCTATTCATAATAAATGCTATAGTACATTCATATTATAAATATAAATGTATTTATACACTACTGCTGTGATATATAGTGTTTAGCATATCCTCAGCTGATAGCTCTAATGCTGTATTTAAAGGGTGTGTTGTAGTTAATGCTATGCTGTATCTACAAACACTTTAGATAATACAGTGAATTGCATTCTGTGTTTGTATTTACAGTATTTCCTATAGTGAATACAGCATTTACTATAGGAAATACTGTAGTAAATGCTGTGATATAGCTGTATTCATATTATACCTATAGAAAAATTAGCATTATCTTTATAGATCTAACCTTAATTTATAAATATATCAGACAAATGAAAAAAAAGTATATAAAATATAAGCAAAATCTTTAAAAATGAAGCATAAAATGTTATGTGAACTCAATTCTTTATATATTCTTAGTTGTTTAATAATATAGGGCAAGAGACAATGTAACATTGTTAACCTAAATAATGCTAAATTTCATAATTCAAAATTATTAAATTAAATAAATAAATACATAATTAATGCAAAATTAAATTAAAATAATTAATATTTTAATTAAAATTAAAGTTAAGACATTTTAAATCATTATTCTCCTATCATTTACTTGAATGAATCAGTGTCTTCCTATATTCATACCCTTTTTTTATTATTCAGAAAAATAAGATAAAAAGTAATAAATGTCATTCTATATTTAAAAAAATATTATTTGGGTTATTTTTTTTAATAAAAATTTAAATTTTTTCTGCATCTAAAGGCAATTATCTCGCTAAATATCATTAAAAAACACGCACACACACAAACGGGTTATGAGAGGAATCTTCTTCACCCATCCCTTTCTTAGAATATACAATTAATTTTCAATTAATCTATCAATTTATACGGAATTTTGTATGCTCTTTTACTGATTTAACTGTAATTTTATACAGATTTTGTAGGACTCTTGAAAACCCTATTGAAATTCATTACACAGTTACCCAGACGAATCCTTCTGTCTGGTTCAAAGTGTTGACCCTATGACACGGGGATGGGTCCCAGGTGTCGCGTGTTACTGAAAATATTTGCTAAAGTTTTTGCAAAGATTAAATTTCCTTAGAGAAATGTCATGGCATCTGTCAAAAATCTAAAACTCTCCATTATAATTTAATAGATTGTGGAAAAGGGGACACTTAGAAAAATTTTATTTACATTTAAAAATAAATATAATTGCTCTAGAAAGATATTGCAGAAATGATTTTCTCTGTAAATAATCTTCCAGCGTGGCTGTTACACACTGCTTTTTAACTATTAAGGTAGTGTTTTTAAAAGTATAATACAGGCGTCACACAGAGGAGGTCTCGTGTCATGAGCTTAAAAGTAGGCGGGTATGACCTAAAAAATATCTTATCAGTAGTGTAAATTGCTTGTAATTTAAAAAAAAAATTACACTTGAAATTTTAATAATCAAATGATAGACGAAAATGGCAATAAATATATTATTTATACGCCACGAAGAATTAACTGATCGAAGATAATGGATAAACGATGGTGGAATTAATATTTTTCCTTATACAAAATTGTTATAAACGGTTACAAATAAAAGATAATGGAATTAAAGACGAATTAAAGGTGAGTAAATTAGGTTATTATGCAGCATCATGTTTAAAGAGAAAAAAATTACGTAAGCACTTTGAGGAGTTATGTCATTAGAAATTGTTAAATTTAGATACGCTAGCGTTATTTGTTTCTCTTCATATTTGTCAAATATGAGAGCATATCAAATATCAATATTCTAGAAAACCTATTGGGCATGTTTCTTTATATTCCCTAAGATTGCATATTCTCTTTTTAGATTCGTCCATAGAATATGCACGAATCTAAAGAAAGACTATCATTCAGCTGCAATCAGAAAGACTATATCATTCGTCTACATCTAATAACAACCGCTTATATCTCTCCATACTCCTGAACAACAAACGCATATATCCCTCCATACTCCTGAATAACAACCGCATATATCCCTCCATACTCCTGAATAACAACCGCATATATCCCTCCATACTCCTGAATAACAATCGCATATATCCCTCCATACCCCTGTAAGATTATTGATTATATTCCTTTATATTAAACATTATTCCGCGCGTTAAGGACTACATTCAAATGACAAAAAATAAGCACACAATTTAAATGAAATCCTACAAAACAAACTTTAAAACGAAGCCAACGAATTAAATTATTTTTCTACCCAAAAAATAATCATCTTTTTATATTTTATAACGTAAATATCTTTAATTAAAAGTTAAGTTATCATACAGGAATAAACGAACCGGAAGATCGCTTCCAAAAAAATCTTGGCAAAAGAGTGATTAAATAAATAAAAAGTTTTAAGAATAATTCTTCTGTAAGGTGAAAGGAAGAATTTAAAAAAATTTCTTACCAGACTTTCAGGGCGGAAATTATTTCCTTTTTCTTCACAATTGCAGCCATATAATTGTAAGTAAAGAACGAGAAAACATATAAGTAGAGCCTTCATGCCTTAGCAATCAACTGCCAAACAGCTGAGTGGTGTGATTAACTCTTGACGTTTTCGAAACTTCAGGGGGTACTTTTTTATACTTTACTGCCATCTATCGTCTGATAAAGTAATTACACAACACCCTAAATTGTATTTTTAGACTCAGGAACCTTCAAAATGCAAAAAACATTAAGGGTAATTTACGTATGTATGGGTGGGTATGTGTGTGGGGCACGATTTTTATTCACCCTGTTTCAAGCTNTGAATAAAAGAGAAAGCTTAGGATAGGATTGAATAGGAAGCTTGGGATTGATTAGGATAGGAAGGTTAGGATAAGATTGAATAGGAAGCTTAGGATAGGATTGAATAGGATAGGAAGCTTAGGATAGAATTAAATAGGAAGCTTGGGATGGGATTTATTAGGAAGCTTGGGATTGAATAGGATAGAAAGCTTAGGATAGGATTGAATAGGAGGCTTGGGATTGAATAGGATAGAAAGCTTAGGATAAGATTGAATAGCATAGGAAGATTGGGATAAGATTGAATAGGAAAATTGGGATAGGATTGAATAGGAAGATTGGGATAGGATTGAATAGGAAAATTGGGATAGGATTGAATAGGAAGCGTAGGATAGAATTGAATAGGAAGTTTATGACAAAAATGAATACTAAAATAAATAGGAAGCTTAATATAAGCGTAAATAGGACGCTAAATAAGAAGCTTAAGATAGAATTTAGCAGGAAACTTAAAAAGTAAAAGATAAAACACAAAATTAAGTAAGAAGATTAATATAAGATTAAATAGCAAGCATAGAATAGAATTAAACAGGAAACTAAGTAAAAAGTTAAGAAAGGATTAAAGAAGAATATAAATAGAAAATTTAAAAAGAATTAAATAGGATCTAAATTTTAAAAATGATTGAAAAAATGTACTGTTTTGATTGTTGACAGTTTTGGTTTCGAATGTGATAACAGTTTATGTGGAGCAACGACTGAAGTCAACAGAGAAAGTCAAACCAAATTCCATTCAGTTGATGGTTTGTTTATTTTCGAGTTGTAAAAATGCCGAGAGGCGAAACTTTGAACAGAAAATTGCCAAGGTCTTTCACCCTCTCGTCACTAATCTCATTCTGAGTGCAGTAACCTTCTGACCCGCACCCAATACAAACTTTCGATTTTTGTGAATCTACAAACCTCAGACTTTCATGTTTAGACATAATTAAATGTATATAAACGGCAAGATTCCCGTGTAAATATTTAAAGATTACGTGAATCCTATAGGATCGAATCGAGAGCACGCTTCAGATGAATATTTCAAGTGTGTTCCTCATCCGATCCTAAGCTATGTAAGGTCAAATCCAGTTCACACTCTCCTGTTTATTTTTCTTTCTTGGCTTTCTACTTAGTTTCTACAGCTTTGGAGCATGATATTTACAAAATAAACTAGGATTCTGGAAAGGATATCCATTGCTTATTTCATGAAATCCATTAATAATCTTAAAAATTCTGTTTCTACAGCATGTGCAGTACAATTGAAATTTTCTCGTGTATGTGTTGTAGAAAGAATCAACACATTGAATGGAATGCAGCAGTGATAAGTGTGTGTGGCACACCTGATACACAATAATTTATTTAAACTCTAAATTATTGGGTATCAGGGAATCCCGCGATACCCTCAGAAGCTGGTTGAGATACCCTGGGGTGCCGCAATCAGCTTCGTGATTGCTGCACCCCAGATTTTAGGCTTCGTGTTATAATTTTCACTGTATTATTTTCGTTTATGGCTTGCATTTGGTGTACAGAAGTAACCCAAAAGACAGTTAACTTAGATATATTAACGCCTGAATCAGTAAGGTTAATATAAAAACAAGGAAGACCTTCTGAACACTTCAAGACACATTCCACACCCATAAAACAGGCTGTAAAATGTAAAATCCACCCTCCAAATCATTGCACCTCATAAAAATCTGATTATTATTACATTCTGTGTTTAAAAAAATCAGGTATGAATCTTCTTCTTTTTTTTAATGATTCCTCATAAGCGCAGTGTGTAATTCAATACGTAACGTATCACAGCTGAATCAAAATATATCGGTCTTTATTGATTGTTAAGGAAGGTCGATTCATTTTGCTAAATAGAATATAACGCATTCCTTTGCCCATAAATGGGTTAAATATCTGGCAAAGGATGAAGATCGAATGTCAGAATATCCTCATTTACTTCCTCTTAATATTGGTTAATCGATGAAATTAGGTTTTTCTCCTTGTATTATTGGTTTTAAATTACAATTATTGTTTTTTACGTACGATTTCTTTTAATATTTTTTAATGTTTTAGGAATTTGTTGCCGGCCGAGGGAATGTCCTCAATTCGATTCGATTTTGTTGAAGGAACGTATTACGTTGAACTTATCCCATTATGTTTTGATGAAGAAACGTAATTTATCCATCCTATTTTCATGAGGAAAAAATGCCTTATTCGATCCAGTTTTTAAGAGGAAAAATGCCTTAATCGATCCAGTTTTGATGAGGAAAAATGCTTTATTCGATCCTGTTTTGATGAGTAAAAACGCCTTATTCGATCTAGTTTTGATAAGGAAAAAATGCCTTATTCGATCCAGTTTTGATGAGGAAAATGCCTTATTCGATCCCGTTTTGATGAGGAAAATGCCTTATTCGATCCTGTTTTGATGAGGAAAAATGCCTTATTCGATCCAGTTTTGATGAGGAAAAATGCCTCATTCGATCCAGTTTTAATGAGTGTTCAGTGGTTTTATCCACTCAGTCACTGATGGCCACTACTCACGAGGAAAAATATATATTATTCAATTTTAATTTTCTAACCAAGTATATTACATTTATTTACATTCTGCTGAGGAAATTTACTGAATTAGAATAATTGTTTCTAAGATAAAATTGTACATTTTCGAATCTTTTTACAGAAATGTATTAAACTCAATTCTTTCCTGCTGAAAAGGAGGAAATCCATATTCTTACGCTTACATCATATTTCATTTTTGAGGAAATATGTTGTATTCTACTAAATCTCGTTGGCAAAATATACCACATACGAGTCATGCTGCTGAGGAAAAATATATGCTTACTAGAGTGAGATAATCACAATGCCTGCAGCTTACTAGAGTGAGGTACTCACAATACCTGCAGCTTACTATGTGAAGTACTCACAATGCCTGCAGCTTACTATAGTGAGGTACTCACAATACCTGCAGCTTACTAGAGTGAGTACTCACAATACCTGCAGCTTATAATAGTGAGGTATTCACAATGTTTTCAGCTTACTAGAGTGAGGTACTCACAATACCTGCAGCTTATTAGAGTGAGATACTCACAATGAATTGACAGATATATACAAGAATGTAACGAATGTACATGAAAATACCTTCCACCGATAAAAGAACACGTTTCATTTTTAAATTATTTACATATTTAGAGGATAAGTGATGAAACATCTGCTCGTTTCTACTACGAAACCACCTGGCAGAGAGAGGATCCAAGGTTACTTTCTACATTTTAAATTATCGGGATTACCAAATTCTTCTAGGTCATAATCTCCAACATTTGTGATCCAACGTTTGACCGATACAATCAATGGACCAACTTACTAGTATTTCTGGTTTCTACTGGTGAATTGAACTACTTTATTCAGGTCACGAATCTCACTTTGAAGCTGCTTCCAACAACTTGCAACCAATTAGTAATCTTTTCATAAGATAATTACAGATTTCTCGTGGCACTCAATGGAGAAAATATGTACCGAGCACCTTTTTTTGAAGGTGTACACAAAGTTTTATACGTAATTATGTCTTTTGCGGTGTTGTTTAACAATAAAATTCTGTGTTTTATTCGTTGCTAGAACAATAGCAACAGGAGGTTGAGGACAAAAAGAATAAATTAACTTCCACCTCGTGTAAGGGGGAGTGTAAAATAAACATCGATTAGGATTCTGTATTGATCATTGTCAGCTTTAGAAGTGGGTGAAGGACGGATTAACGTCGTTTCTTTAACAGCGGCTCCACCCTTTACAATCAGTTAATTAATAAGATTTAATAAATGAATATCCATTGAGGGATGTTCAATCTCATCAATGTGTAAATATGCGAAAGGATGATTTACGACACCATCAAGTATGGACTTAGTAACAGTATAATAGGAATTATTTGATGTTTATCAGTAGAAAAGTAGGGCAGAGGTGTATTTTCTTTTATAGGTTTATTACAAAATGTGTGCCTGATGAGAGGGTGGATAGTATTCTGATGCATTGTGATGTAAGCAGAAAATGCTACAGGAGTTTCCTTTCTAATAACAGATCATAAAAAGAGGTGGTGTTAGATATTTCTAGATAAATTATTAGATTAAAATGTACTTAAATATTAAAATTTTAACCATTTTTTTTTTAAAATAAAAATAGTAATGCTTAACAGCAAAATTTGCTGCTAAATAACCAAGTTTTTCTTCAATTGAAATCAAATTATATAGAGAATTTTGTAGGTATTTTGATGTTTCATTGTACAATATTAAACTAATAAGAACCTTATTCAATCTTTTAATATTAGATTACTTCAAGGACAAAGTTTTTCTAAGGTTAGTTTCATAGTAATAAGGATATGAAACCTTTAAAGGAATGTTACAGTGATCCAGTAATCATAATTTTTTAAAAAAAGTAGTGTATAATTAAGAAAAATCTTTACATTCCTGTAACAAAGAATGTATATTTTATAAAAATTCATAAGAAAATATGATTTTATAAATAAATAAATTACAAATTTAAGTGTGTTTTTAGAATATTAAGTGTAAAAGTAAAGATTTTTAAGTAAAAATTTATTAATTATTGAACAAAATATATAAGAATTTTCTCTTTTTCTTTGATCAAATTACTCAATTATCACAGCTTTAAAATTCAGATCATTTTTAAAAATAGAAGACAGTTTTTTTGGGGGGATATTTTTTGTGCCTTTATTGGGTTACAATTTTTTTTAATAAAATTACATTTTAATGCTTTTTTAAGGTTGTTCCA